GTGCATGGGTACCTGGGGATGGTTGGGGCCACGCCGGCTCTCCTACTTCGAGCAAAAACCAACCCTTCACGGAGGGCAGGGGAATTGCTCAGAGTGCAGACACTTGCGAAAAATATATGTACTGGGAAAAATGTGACGATGAGGAGCAAATGCATCATGCCCCTGCTTGTGGGGGGGTGGGAGGGCAGAATGATGCTCCCTGCGGGACGAGTTGCACTCACCATCACGCCCTTCACCCATCCAAAGCGGACGGGCTCTGGCGTGGGGGTTCTGCCCGGATGCCGCCTCCTCCAGCCCGGCCTCCGGCAGGCAATTGCCCCGCTGCGGGTCGGACACTGGCACGCGGAGATGGCCCGGGTCAGGCTGCGGGGACAAGGGGAAGGCAGGTGAGCGTGGGCAGGGCTGAAGGCAGCCAGCCGTCCCCAAGGGGTGCAGCTGGGGGGAGAGCTCTGGCTGAGCGCACAGCTGGAAACAGCTGGATTATCCCTCTGGCTTCTCCCTGGGACCATCCTAGGGATGTGCACATCAGCATGGCACCAAGAAGTGGGAGACACCGTGCCACAGACACGCTGCAGGGACCAGGCACCGGCAGCAAGGCCAGGGGGTGCCAGAGACGGCAGCGGCACCGCTGAGCCCCACCTTACCTTGAGGATGGAGTGCAGGTCTGCGAGCGAGGGCCTCCCCTTCCTGGTGTCGCCCACCCCCTTGCTGTTAGCATAGTGCTCGTAGGCAGGCACAACATCCACCGTGTTGTAGCCGAAGGTCCTGGTGCAGAGCGTGCTGCCAGAGAGGTGGGTGGGGTGGGTGCTGTCGCAGCCAGCCCCCTCGGTGGCCGCGTAGGGACCCCAGCTGCCCTCCTCTGTGCCCAGGAGGGTGCTGATGGTGAAGCGGCCGCTGCAGCGGGACAGGCCTGCGGGCAGCTCTGGGACAGACAGCTCAGCCATTGCCCCTGCCCTGGTCACCGGTGGTGGTGCCTGCTGGGCAAGGGGTGGGGTGGAGAGGAGTTTGCCGGCTTTATACCTGGCAAAACTAGAGTGAGGGAACCAGCACCCACCCACCGCCATTGCTAACGGGGGAAAAGAATTGGCTCAAACCACCCCGAGCTGGTCAGGGGGAAAAAATAGCTGGAAGGGATATCAAAACCACTGTAATGGGTATCGCTGACTCCCAGTGTTTGATGGGGGTGGCGATAAGAGATTTGAGATTAAGTCCCAAGGACAGACCGGCAGAGAAATCCGGTGCTGAGTTTGCCTCCGGCCCTGACCTGGGAACATTCAGTTCCCACTGGGATTTATTATGGAAAATAGCAGCAGACTCCCAGACATGCTCGCCCTTCCCTGGGATACTGCGCCAGACCTGGCAGATCCCATAAATCATCTCAGCCGGCCTCAAGAGTTGCCGCCTGCAGCGCCGAGCTGTGCTGGATGTGGGAAGGGAAACGGCCCCTTTTTCTTACAGTGAAACCAGGGAAAAAGGGGGAGTGTGACATCGAGAGATGGGAGGGATGTCACTGCCCAGGATCTGAGGCCAAGGGGCTGGAGAGGCTGGGGGCACCGAGTGGTGGAAGTCATGGTCCATCGGCTATTGCCTGGGGCTCGGGGCTGGCAGTTCTCTGGTGCCGATTGCCCACAGTCCCACAGCCCCCTTCCCCTCCTGACCCCAGGGAGGGCAAACCGCTGAGCACCCAGGGTTCAAAGCTCCCAGATCCCATCCCTCATTTATGTAAGCCACTTAAACCCTTCCCCACATCACACAAAACACAAGCTGAGGCCGTGCTGCCACTCAGCATTCACCATACAGCCACCAGCAGGTGAGGAGAGGGGGAGGGACCAGCGTCTTTTATACTTCTGCAGCCTGGTGTCACATGTGCCCTTAAAAGCAGTTACAGATAAGATCAGGGAAGACAGCAAATAAGGCAGGCAATAAAATTTGAGGGCAGCAAAATTTGAATTTCAGCCCTGTGTGCTTTGTAAGTTAATGGAAAATCCGGGCTGCCTGCCCTGCTGCCTCTGGCTGTCTTTTGCATTCACGCACAAATTTTAACCTGCTTTTTGAGGACTCGCTTCAGCCCCCTTGTATTGTTTGTGCATGAGCAGAAGCTGTCCGCAATTGCATAAGCCCCGCGTGGGCTGGCACACACCTGCTTACCCAGGAAGCTGAGGACAGGCAGCCCTGCCTGCAGTGCTCGCCTGCCTGCCTCCGCATGGCTCAGCTCTTGTAACACCCAGGCACTGCAGTGCAAAATGTGCCGGCACAGGCGGTGCCGCTGCTGTACCTGGCCTTGTGAACATGGGGAAGGGCGAGAGGGAGCTGAGGAAAAAGCCTTGCTCCAGCACCTCGTGCAACATCTCCTGCAAGGTGGACACCGGCTTCCTCTCACAACAACAGAGGCAGCAGCAGACTCATGCCCAGCAGAAATGGCTTTATTTTAGAACCTCATTTTTCATCAAACACACTAATTTGCCCAAACCAGCACAAATCACAGAGTCTCTTAAACAGGGTGGGGGGTGTCTCTGTTACACACAGTGCAAAGATGCTCCAGGAGAGACAGGACTCCAGACGCCGGGCGAAGAGCGAAGTGAGTGGTATGATGCAACCCTGGTGTAGTGAAATAGCCGGATAGTAGGATGCGCTTGTCGTCGGCCTGATTCACAACACCAGCTGCAGCAACAATACCGGGGCCATCAGACACTGGGAGCTGTGAGCAGGGGAGGAGACCTCAGTGGCACATCCCTCCAACCCCTCCGCTCATGCAGTGAAGAGGTGCCACGTTGCTTCTGCAGGGCTTTCCCTCGCTTCCAGCTGATCCCCTGGTCCACTATGGCTATGAAATGCATCAAATGAACCTGAATTGAGTTAGGCAGAGAATGGTGCAATGCTTTACATACGGCTTCTTTTAAAGTTTGCCGAAGTGCTATATTCTGACTTTAATGAAGTTTTAATTGCCCTGTTTCCATCCCCGTGGAAAAGCCAACCTACCGCCCTGGGTGACACAGGACATGTGAATGATGCAGGGGCTCAGTGCTGCAAACCCACCGTGCAGAGCAGGACTCAGTTTCTCGGCACTGCAGGGAAGGAAACCTGGGAAGAGAAAATAGATGGTTTTTCAGACCACTGCCAGCAACCTTATCTGATGGGGCCCAAAGGGATCATCTCCCATCCTCTTCCAGACAGTATTTCCATCCCTTCCAACTTCAGACTCAGACAGAAACAGGACAAGAATGCCAGTACAGGGACATGAACAGTGGCAGTATTTGACTGCTGTCCCACACCAGGGACACAGAACTGGAATTAACAATGTCCCCTTCTTTCCTCCAGGCTAGAAGGAAAACAGCTTGCTGCTTTGAGAGGCTGGGGTTTATAGCATTTATTAAGGTTGGGCAGACAAGTGTTGAGAAGGTAACAATAACAAAAAAAAAAATTAAATTCATTCTTTCTGAACATAATTCCTTCAGCTCCCACAAGGAACAAAGTCCAGGTGCTGTCTTAGACAAAGGCAGCAGTGGTAGGAGAACAGAGGAGCCACCTCAGTTAGCATTTGTCTGGAAAACAACAAAAAATCAGGATCGACATGGCAGAATCTGCAGTGAGTGGGAAAATCCAAGAAAAGGCAGAGGAGCAGGAATGTATCTTGCAGGCTGTAAGCAGACAACCAGCTGAGCCAAGCATACACTGGGTAACAGTGCAGGCACCACTGTGAAAATTCTAAGAATTAATGTTGTTGAGGGGATAAAAAACCCCCACAAACACCAAAGAAACAGAGTTGAGAAGACAGAACCCACTGACACCAGCTCCACGGCAGTGTTTAGGAGGGTCCTGTTTCAGCAGGTTTTCTGCTTGTTGGCACCTGTTAAATTCTCACATGAGCTGACTGTCTTCCATTAGCTCAGTTTTTACCAGTAGCCCATGGTTAACTCCTGGGCAGAGCTTTAACTATTTTTTTTCCTTACTGGACAGGTAACATAGGCCAGAAGTTTACAATGAGTATTTCTAGATTCCCCTGGAACTCCCCCATAAATCCAGACCACATCAACTCAGACCTCATTTGAAGGACATGCAGAATATAAAGCATTCAGAACTGCTACGCTGATACCATGGCACTTGTGGACGTTTCACTACCAATGAGCCATGCAAACTGGAAAACAGACCAGCATGCGCTGCACACTGCAGCTGCACCAGTACCAGGACAGAACGTCACATGCTCCCAAGGCAAACACCTTTTCACTCCTTCCTCAAATCTTCTCTAGCAACACAAGCATGAGCTGCATTTAACTCAAAGTATTGGGCAACCCTTAGGATGCATCTCATCTACCTGGAGGATCTTTACTGCTTAGGATTACTCCCAGAGTAGGAAAAAGCAGATGGAACTATCCTAAATTTAATCTGCAGCATTCATCTGTACTTTTTTCTTGTACAAAGGGGCAGAGCTCCACTGACTTAGAGAAGATGTCAGTTGACAGTAAGACTCAATTCAGCTCAGATGAACATCCACAGCTCTGCTGCGAATTGTGCCTGGCAAACCATAAACTTGCTCAGATGTTGCTGCGCATTATCACGATTTTCAATTTGACCTGTGCGAGGCTGTCCAAGCAGACTGAAGCCCTTTGTACGCAAGGAAAACGGAGATAGCTCTTGCTATGCCCTTGACAGCACCATGCTGTAAAAGCCAGCACTACTCCCTGTTGTGAAGGGAGTGCTTAGTGACACCGCCATTGAGCAGGCTGCTTCAAACACAAGAATTTAGTGACATCCCAAAAGCCCTTCTAGCAGATCAAATATTTAGAAAACCAAGACTAAGCCTGCGCATTAGCAAAGTCTGAGTGCAAAGGTACAAAGGGTTACAAACTTCACTCCAGCAGCAGCAGGTCTGCTGGTCAGAAACCCAAGGGAGCAGAACCAGGTTGTTCTCTCCAGCAGAGTAAGCATAGGGTGGAGAGAAAACAGCGGCATCTGGAAACCACAGGGGTGCCTTATTCAGCAAAGCACCAGTATGTGCGTCAGCATCTACCTCAGTGAAGCAAAACCCTTGAAGTCATGCAGAGGAGAGCCAGGTTTGCCAAAGCCAGGCCTAGGCGTGGAGCTGGAACCTGCTGCTCTTGGGAACGCAGGAAGATGGATGGGCTGCAACATTCACAACCTGCACAGGAGCAAGAAGAACTCACAGGTAATCAACAAGAATCATTTAATTCCAACTATCCATGGCACCTTCTGTTATACCCACAACCTCTCACGTCTTGTCTGAAACTTGGCTGGGCCTTACCTTTCCACGGTTAGTCCCAGGGCTTTCACTCCCTGGGCTTTATGTCCTCTGTCCATGCATCACAGAAGGATCATCTTGGCTTTTCAAAGTATGAAATAATTCAGTTTCTGCTTAGCTTAGAAGGGACCAGAGACTGGAGTCACAACCACTGAGCACAAAGGGAACAAACTGCATATAGCCAACCTTCTCTTTTACTAACACCCGTGAAGGCTGAGAAGCACTGGAAAGCATCTGCTACAGCCATCCTCAAAGGGCAGACAGAAAAAGGGCAACTCACTGTTTTTAAAAGGTCCCTAGGTTCAGTGTTTGACATCAGAACATGCCAGAGAGGCAGCATGATAGCTCAGCTGAGCAGGGGATGGGCAAAAGACAGGAGAACAAGGTCCTGCAAATGGCAGCAGTAAAAGCTGAGCCCCAAAGCACTTCTGTCCCTGTGTGAATGGTGGAGGGGGAAGAGGGAATTACAGTGGGGAAGGTGGCCTTCACTCTTCCCGAACAGACTCTGGCAGCCGCTGTCCCTCTCTTGCTCAGGTCAGTGGTTGCCCGAGGACAGGTACAGACTCACCAGCCTCTCCGTATGTGAGGTCGTTTGATGCTAGGAGTAACTGAGGGACAGGGGCTGAATGCCAGCAGGAAAAACACAGGAGCAGGGTTTATCCTGCAGGACTGTATGTGGGGCAATCCTGGTCCAGTCAGGACTGTCTGCAAGCATCAGGAAAGATGCCTTGCTCTGCCACCTACTTTTTGGTAACCTGTTCTCTAGGGAATTGGATGAATTTTCAACTGAGCCACACCAAGAAATATTCACACAGGACTATGCCAGAAATGTTAATAACTAATAAAGCTTTCCACACTCACCTGTTGACATTTTGTTAG